TACCTGCCCAGAGGTGTCTGTCCTCATGAATCCTGCCCACTATAGATGGTCAGGCTCCATCTCTTGCCTCAACCACAGTGCCCTGGGCCTGCTTCCCCAACTGTCACTGCCTAAAAGGCATCTCTCCAGCCCCGGGGATTCATGGAGGGTGGACACCTGCCTTGGTCTTCATGGAGTTAATACAGTACCCACAACAAATGATGCAAACAAACAAGTATAAATGAAGGAATAAGCAAATTGAATAATAAGAGTAGAGCAAAACTGCCTGAACTTCACACTATCAAGTAAAATGCCAAGTGACAACTTTATTAAGAAACAGATTTGTTTCTCATCAAAATACTCACCTCCTCCGAAAGAAAGGTTGCATTTATACCCCTCCTTTTTCTGCTCAGTGGCAGTTAGAGCTAGCGGCCTGGGTAAGACAGAGTTAATGGCAAAACCAAGAAACTAGCCCCAAATTCTGCCTCCCACACCAGGACCCTCATGCCAAATCCAACCAGCCTGCCTAGTGACCAAAACCCAACTCCAACATTGTCTCTTGGCAAGGTACAGTTGGCCAAAATTCAGACCCCACAGGACCCTCTTCCAGCCACTGAAGTCCGAGGCCCAACCCCTGTGCCTGCTTGTAGGAAAGCCAGCGCCAGCACGAGGCAGTCGATGAGTAATTGAGGTTCTGAAATTCATGGCACGGGCTGTCCATGTGCTACAGTGCCAAGGCCATGCCTGGAAATCGAAAATGGAGACTGAGGACTGCCCCTGCTCCCACCCAAAGTGTGAAGAGAGGAAGAGCAGGAAGGATTAGGCCTTCCCTAAAATGTATTCCCATCTGGGGGATGGTCTATGTTCTTTGAACACAAACCTCTTGGCGATGAAAGCCCAGTAAGCTTAATTTCAGGGGAAAGAAGTAGAGAGTAATTTTATGCTTCCGTCAAAAGTTCCTACAAATACCATGCCCAGCTTTTAATGCAAAATTATAGCTACCATTTATGGAGATTCCACTACATCAAAGAAGGTTTACATTTCCTATCTCATTTAATCCCCAAAACAATCCTGAAAGATAGGTGGTTGGTTTGATTTTAATTTTTAAAAGAAGACACCTGGGGTTTATTGAGGTTGGTAACTTCTCCCAAATCACCCAGATTGTGAGCGCTGGATCCTGGAGTCTGACCAAGTTCTACCAATGCCAGCACTACTTGAAGCTGGGTCCAGATCTGGGTTCCCCAACCTCTGTCCTTTGAGAGTCCCAAATGGAGAAAAGGACGGTGAAAGGCAGGACTGACACGCACTGAGCACCTACTGTGTGCCAGAGGCAATGCTGGCGCGGGAGAGGATGCAGAGAGAGGAACGGGGGCCACCTACATCTTCAAGGAATCACCTGACTTGTGCATGAGGGACAGAAAACTAGATGAAACTTGCGGGGACGGGGATAAGAGCCGAGTATCAGGGCAGCGACGAGCAAGGCGGGATTGACTCCTACTGCTAGGACTGGGACATAGGGAGCACTTGGGGCACGTGGAGGGGGAGCAGAGTGTCCGGGGAACGAAAGACGCTCGGGAGAAGGCACAGAGTGAACGGCTCCCAGACTGGCGGCTTCGGGGCAGGTTTCTCTGCATCTTAACGACAGGACATGGCTTGTCATGCTACCGACCCACAAAGGCTAGCAGGACAGAAGTCCACCTTGTAGGGACCAGGGCCGGCATAAGCCCACCGGGCAGGACGGAGATTCCCAGCTGGAAACCCGCGGGGGCGTCCGCGACCTCGCCATTTACCCAAGCGGCTCGTCGTTAAACCTGACTTGAAACTGTCACCCAGAATGTTCCCGCAGGGCAGCACGTGAAGATGGGCCTCCGGGTGGGCGTCGGGGAGGCGTGTCAATTCTTCCCTTCCTTTGCTCCGAGACGTAGCTGGGGGCGGGGGAAGGGTGAGCGCCCCCGGGCCCTGCGCGCTGTGCCTCCCCGAATGGACTCGGCCCTCCGAGGGGCGCCCGCACTTCCAGTCCAATCCGAGCGCTGTGGGGCGGG